AGTGTAATGCACTTTTGATCATTACATGTTAAAAAGGCACACTATAAATTGATAAATTATTATTATTAAATTATTATTATTATTGTTTCTTTGGAGACTAACCCCTCTTAAAACAGCTACAGTTTAATCAAAACAACAAAAACATCTCCATGACTATAGAGATCTCTCCTGCCAAATCTGGCAAAGTTTATAAATAATAAATAAATGCTAAATACTAAATAGATTCAACAGCCAGCCGCCAGACTTAGCAGAGCTGCAGAAATTAAAATTGCTAATAGATATTGCTAACGTAATTTTTTGAAGCATCCATGAATGATGATGTACAATCTACTAATATCCCCTTATGGCTGTAAAAGTATCTTCTTTTATCCTATAGATATCTCACCATAAATTCCTCCCAGTGCATCCATGCAATATCAAACACTGCATTCTCGTGAGCATTCCATTCTGAAATTTTCCAAAAAGTTTTATTAAATATAATTTCCCTTCTAGCGTCCTCAAGAGAAATGAAAAACATCAAATATCTGCAATGGATTATCTCACATTCATACCTTTTATCAGTGATTTTGGAGATTTTCTCCTTGAATCCAGTATTTGAACCCACCCTTCTTCATCAGCAATCCCCAGCATATGGCCACCACGACCAGCTCAAAATAATAAAATACATTTTATAAATATTAAATTAACTGCATGATAAGCAGTTTCAGTTACTTGATTGCTAACCAAAAACAGAAGAAACGGACAATAATAGGATGGAAAAACTTACCATGACTAAACCGACATGCAAATGGTGGGACATCTATCTGAAATTGCAAAAAATAAAGAGTTCAACAACAAGAGTTCAACACCGAGTTCAACAAAATCCCGAAGCGTCGGGATTTTGTTGAACTCGGTGTTACCGTTGTTTACGGACACAAAGTTTGAATGATATTTAAGGTAGCCAAAGCGAATTTTGAACAAATTAATCATAACAGGAATTTTTCCATGTACCTACCTCTCTTCTTTGAACGAGATATTCATCATCTCTGACACAACTGAACGTATTCAACGCAAAGTCGAGGGGAAATGCTGAAAATATATACAAAGAGGGAAATGGAGTTCGCTTCGTGTACGTGTACTGGTCATGAATACACGATTTGTTTTTAAAATACTCACCACTAATTCGTCATTTTCGTACTCACCTCTCTTCAGAGAACTAGGAGCAAGTTGTCTTTGGAAAATTGAAGCGAGAAGTGTCATATTTTTTTCAGTATTCGTCATGAATATAGACCCTCTTCGTCATTCTTTGGCATCAGAAAGGAAAATCATTCCCGCGAAATCAAATGTACGCGGGAAGCTTTCAACTCTGTCTTCTGATTGGTTCGTTTTCATGGAAAGATCCCAGCACTCTTTACGATGACAGCGCCAGTGAGAAGACCAGTGGGATACTTATTTCCAACATGGCGACCTTACTTAGCTTTGGTACTTCAAACATTGGACAAAAAACTTCCAATAATTCTGATAGCTGGCAAGATGCAAACAGTGCCTTGTCAGAGCTTGACAAGGGTAGAGAATGCAACTTTGCAGAAAAGCTTTTTTCCCATTATTTCAAAATTTATAAACCATAATACCAGTCTGCAACCTGTTATTTACTCTCGCTCAGGTGATAACGTTAACGGGAATGATTCTATTTTTATTTTAGGACTACGATCAAGTAAAGCTGGAGAACAGTGTGAGGCAATAGTCAGATTCCCAGAGTTATTTGAGAAATATCCATTTCCAATTCTAATCAATTCTGCTCAGTTAAAGCTGGCCGATGTCTTCCGCATCGGGTAAAGATTTTTTTTTTATGATCTTGTAAATCATATTTAATTTGATCGATGTTTCATGCGAAAAAAAATATTTGAAATATTGAGTGTATCTGTTGCGTTTCCTCGTGTTTTGCAGAAAATGAAAAAAAAAAACCTAGATTTCTCGTTTTTTTTTATTTTTATTTTTTTGCAGGAGTAATTTTTTGCGGCTTTGCATTCTGAAGGTCATTCAACAAAGTGACAAACATCTGGACAAGATTTTGAATGTAGATGAATTCTTGAAGCGAATTTACTCTGTCATTCATTCAAATGATCCAGTTGCAAGAGCCATCACTGTTAGGTGATAAGAATAGGGAATATTTTTTCATTGAAAAGATTATCTCTTTAAAGTGCATATGACATGAAATTGTTTTCTCATGTTTCTTGTAGTTGGATATCTATAGAAAATATTTCGAAGCTTTAAAAGAGCTGGACAAATGTAAAAAGCATTTTTTTGCTTTCAAAATATGCGCAATTTGTCTTCAAATTTGTCCTGGAGACTGGGACCTAGTTTATCACCATAGAAGTTATTCATGATGTCAGGTTGTGTACCTTTGCCGCGAAGGTCTGTTGTCGCTAAGAGGATTCTGCAGTACTTCGTAGTAGATAGATAGTGTATTGAAAGGCAAAGATGTCCAGTGATTCTAATGATTCCTTTGAGTCCGACTCTTCTGAAAGTTCCTTTGACTTTGAAGAATCTGGGTACACAATGTGACGTCACGTCCGATTTTGGCTCTGCGATGACCGGGACAAATTTGAAAGCAAATTGCAGGTATTTTGAAAGCAAAAACAGTGCTTTTTAGACTTTTCCAGCACTTTTAAGGCTTCAAAACGTTTTCTATAGATATCCAATTACAAGAAACAAGAGAAAAAAATCTCGTGTCATATGCACTTTAACCTCAGAGTGACTAGCATCTAATTTCTCCTTACAATATCACCCTGCATCGAACGATAAGGTCAGGAGAATAAAGGAAATGATCACCAAGTGAAGAAGCTCTTGATCATTAAACAAATTCTCCTTGTCAGCACCTTAGAAAATGTCTGGAGAGCAGTATGGAGAAAATGCATACTGATGTTAGGGTGTAAAGGGTTATCAGTTATTTGAAAATGGGTTCAACTATTTTGTTAAAATAAAAAAGTGGTTGGATGATCATGATCATGTGAATGTTGTTTGAAGTAGTAAGAGCCACTTTGATAAACTCAGTGGAAGTCATGGTCAGAGTCAAAAAGAGAAACTTGTTGAAGTGTTATACTTTGTGATTTTTCGAGAACATGCAGGTTCCAATTCTCTTCCCATGAAGGCTAAATGTTGAATGTAATTATGATATTATTAATAATATATTATTGGAAATGTTCAGTATAATTATGATATTGAATTGCATTTGTGACTTATTTCAATGTATCGCTTCTTCAGAGTTCTTGGTAGTATTGCTTGTATCGTCTCTGAAAGAAAAAATGTCCACCACAGGTAAACAATTTATAATCTTAACAATTAGCAGTGTTTTCTTCATTTTAACCCTTTGATCTGTAGCTTGTAAAATCTCCTTACAGTGTCATCTCTGAATCAAACTTTAAGGTGACGAGAATAAAGGAAATGATCAACTAAAAGAAGCTC